CTCTACAATATAAATAAATACATGAATAAATAATCAAAAATGAATAGAATCACTCTGGTCTGGTGAGAGTTCCAAGAACAACTTCAGAAATTTTTAATTTCTACCACAGTTCCTATCTTTACTAATTTGTAGGACATATTTGCTGTGCAATCTGGTAATTTGTATAGTATAAGTACTTCTATTCATTCCACATTTCTCAATAATATTGATTTGAACATAAAATCGGTTTCATCTCACATACATACCAATCATTCACACATACATACATACATACAGATTTTCACAAACACAGATACTCACAGAACTTTAATAATCGTCCTCAGTGTTGTCATCTTCCAATGAGGAAAAATTAACACTCTACAATGCTTATTCACTGGGGATATCAATGACTCATTCATAAAAAATATTTTCACTCATAATCCACATTCTCACACTGATATTCTTCACATTCATTCTTACAATAGGCTTATTTTGTTCAACATATTGAGCATTTGACAATTATTTGGGCCATAACTGAAGAGCCTCAGAGGCCTGCCTATCAAGTCAATATTGGTAAAACCACAATTCATCTGGTCACAGTACTTCTTATAAATATGTATCCTTATTTTGATGACATTCACAATTTTCCATGCAACACTTTTCCTGTATGGTGACCCCTTAACACCATATGACCAGCAAAATTCTCTTATTTCCAAGAATACCTGTGACTTGTTCTGACAATAAGTTTTATAGTAATCCAGGTTTATTATTGGGCCTTCAAAAATTGTGGTGAAGCTTGTAAAGGGGAAAAACTGAAGAAATATAAAAAGGGTGAATATCACATCAAACAATCAGAACAGGTACACTGCATTGGGCTTGGCCCTTAGGGTCACCTGTGTTGCAGCTTCCAGCAAGGTTCAGAAGCCTTTTCTATGGGGGCTGGCCACAACTAAAATTTGGTACACAATCAACATAATTTCAAAAACTAACATTAAAAGTGCAAAGTAAACTCTGTCATGAGCATCTGTTCCCGACGATTTGTCTGAAACACAAAATCGCGGTGTACGACATTTTTGGACAATATTCCATCCCCTCAATCCATTTCAGCAGGGCTTAACTACTCCCGTCTCTAACAAAAAAATAGAAAGCTGAAACTTACGGTTTTCTGGCACCTGTGCACCTCTGTAGCCCTGAACTGGATTCCTATTTCCTGGCGCGAAGAAGCCCACAGCAGATTGATGCTTCGACTAGGGGGATGGGTCCAGGATATGTTTTGTCAAGTCTTTGAAGTCATGGCGCGCGGCGAGGCTCATCTTCTCATCTTCTGCGCTTGGCCGCGGCCGCTGCGGCGATCATCTTCCTCAGCATGGGCTCCGGACTACACACCTTGGGCTCGCACTGCATCTGGCCATCGCCGCCGCACCTGCACAAGAAAGAGACAGCGTTATGCACGGAAAAGAAAATAGCTGTTATAGCTAAACCAAGGAGAGGTACTCACTGGCAGTGCAGGCAGGGTCCGGACGCGGAGCGGATCGTCTCGCCGACGCGGTACGCCTGTCCGCGGACCTGGCAGCCCGTCCGCTTGGCCGCGCCCTTGTACGCGTGGTGCAGGAAGTGCGGCGGCAGCGTCGTGGTCGTGGTCGTTGTGGTCGTCGTGATGTTGAGCGAGGTGGCCATGGACACGGGGCACTCGTAGCGCGGGCAGCAGAAGCCGTTGATGGGCTCCTCGTGACAGGCTGGGATGGGCGGCGGGCAGCTCTGCTGCAGGCAGATGATGTCGCTGCGGAAGCAGAAGCAGAAGTCGCACGGGTCGTCGCGCGGAATCTGCTGCGCCGACACGTAGACCTTGCCGGCGTAGCGGCACGTGCCTGGGCCGAAAGCGGCCTGGTCGTCCTCTTCGTCGTAGTCCTCGCCCATGCCGCCGGGACCCGGGGGCAGGTAGGTGCCGCTGCTCGGAGGGAAGTTCTCCTGTCCAGCCATGCCAGCCATGCCGGCCATACCCGCCATGCCCGCCATGCCCGCCAGCTGACTGAAGTCGTCGGGGTGTCCCATGAAGCTGGGCGGTGGCGTCTCCGTCGGCCTCTGCTGCTGCTGGGGCGGCGCGACAGGCGCAGGCTTCTGCACGGGCTCCTTGTTCTGTTCGGGAACGGGCATCATGATGTGGTCTTCCTCGACGTGCTCTTCCGGAATGACGGGCTCTTCGGTTGCCTCTGCTGCCTCGGGTGCTTCTGGTGCTTCCGGAACATCGGGTGTTTCGTGCTCGGCAGGCTTCTCTGCCTCCTCGCTGGCATCCTCTGTCTCGGGCTCCGGCTGGTGGGCCGCGGAGGTCGGGATTGGCGCGGGAGTCGGGGCCAGGGCCTCGTTCTCTTGTAGAGCTGGGGCAGGAACCTCCGGGCTCGGCACCTCCGGGATGGGCACCTCCGGGGCGGGGATCTCTGGGGCCGGCGTCTCCGCGACAGGAACCTCCGGGGCTGGTGTCTCCGCTGCAGTGGGAGCCTCCGTAACGGACACCTCTGGGGCGGGCGTCTCCTGAGCGGGCACTTCTGAGAGGGGAACTTCCGGGGCGGGCACCTCCACGGCCTGACTTGGCTCCTCGTCCAGGGGCGCAAATGTCTCAGGCGGGGTGGTGGTCGGGGCGGCGGGCACCTTGGTGTCCTCAGCGGGCTGCTCGGGCAGCAGGGTGGGCTCGACGGGAGCGGGTGTGGGTGCGGGCTGGTCTTCGCTGGTCACGCTGGGCTCCTCCGTGGGCGCGGCTGTCTCTGCGACGATGGGCTGCACTGTCTGCACCTCAGCGACCTCCCCTTCCGAGAGCGCGTCAGCCGGCTCCGCTGGTGCTGCAGGAGGAGCGGACTCCTCGGACGGTGCGCTCGTGCTGGCGGCGGCCTGGTCCTCGCTCTGGGCCGCGTCCACATCCTCGAGCGGGGCGAGGGGCTGGCTGTCGGGAGCTGACGTCGCTTGCTCCGGCTCGGAAGTGACAGCGTCCTCTCCCTGCAGGACGCTCTCGGTGGAGGCAGCTGGCGCGTTGGTGGTGGCAGCCTCGACTTCGGGGGCGTTCTCCGGTTCGACGGGCGCCTCGACCGGTGGCTCGACGGGCACCTCGGCGGGCGCCTCGACGGACTGCTGAGGTGCTTGTGTCGCGTACTCGTCCTCGGCAACCTGGGGCGGGGCGGTGCTGGCTATCTGCTCGTCGTTCCCCTCGTACACGCCAACGATCGGAGACGCCGAAGCGGGCTCCTCCGTGGCGGCCACCTCGGGCGCGGAAGTCGGTGAGGACTCTACTAGTGTCTCCGCTGGTGTCTCCACCGGTGTCTCCACTGGCACGTCCACTGGCACGTCTAGTGGCTGCGCGGTGGTGGGGGCTGTTTCCTCGACAGGCGCTAACGGCGCCTCCGTCTGCGGCGCCTCGTCGACAGCAACAGGCACTTCCTGGTCGGCCGCAGATGTGGCCTCCGACTGCTCGAGGCTCTCCGGAGTTGCCGTGGGACGTCCCTCGTTCTCCACGTCAATGTGCGTGTAGTCCTGCGGGGAGACGGTGGGCTCAAATGACGCCGACTGTTGAGTTGTGACTTCGCTCTCTGGCGCCGCTGGGGCCTCCGTCGGCTGGGCTTCCTCTTGCAAGACAGGAGCCTCTGGTGTCGGCGTGGCCTCGGGCTCGGCAACGTCGGGCTGCTGTGTGGTCGCTGGCTGCGCAGCCTCGGCTTGCTGTGTCACTTCGACTGGTGACTGCTCCTCCAGTTGCTGCGTCGCTGGTAACTCTTCTGACTGCGCGGCTTCTGGGGTTTGAGTTGTTTGGATTTCTTCTTGTTGAACTATCTCAGGCTGTTCGGTCGGCTTAATTTCTTCTTGCTGGACGATTTCCGGCTCCTGTGTAGTTTCCACAGCTTCCTGCGCGACGGCCGGCTCCTGCGTTGCATGAATCTCTTCCTGTTGGAGGATTTCAGGCTGCTGCGTGGTCGCAACCTCTTCCTGCTGAACCACCTCAGGCTCCTGCGTTGTCTGAATCTCGTCCTGAGGGCTCACTTGGGGCTCCTGCGTTGCCTGTACCTCTTCCTGAGGTACTGTTTCGGGTTCCGGTGTCGGCTTAACTTCTTCTTGCTGAACAATTTCTGGTTGCGAAGTTGTTTGTACTTCCTCCTGCTGAACAGCTGCTGGCTCTTCTGTTGGCTGGGATTCCTCCTGGGGAATAATTTCCGGTGCTTGTGTCGGCTGAACTTCTTGTTCAATTAATTCAGGCTCCGACGTGATGTGAAGTTCTTCCTCTTGTACTATCGGCTCCTGCGTTGGTTGAACCACTTCTTGCTGGACCAACTCCGGTTCTTGTGTAGGCTGAATTTCTTCCTGAACCAACTCTGATCCTTGAGTAGGACGAATTTCTTCCTGTTGAATAACCTCCGGCTGCAATGTGGTCTGAGTATCCTCCTCCTGTACGATAGGTTCCTGTGTTGGCTGTGCCTCTTCCTGTGCAAGCACTTCCGGTACCACGGTAGGTTGAACTTCTTCCTGTTGAACTATTTCAGGCTTCGAAGTGCTCTGAATTTCTTCGTGTTCGACGATAGGTTCCTGTGTTGGCTGAGCCTCTTCTTGCGCAACCACTTCCGGAACCTCGGTGGGCTGAACTTCTTCTTGCTGAACTATTTCAGGCTCCGAAGTGCTCTGAATCTCCTCCTGTTGTGCTATCGGCTCCTGTGTAGGCTGAATCTCTTCCTGCAGGACTACCGGTTCCTGAGTTGGCTGCACCTCTTCCTGCTGAACCAGCTCGGGCTCCTGCGTCGGCTGGGCCTCTTCCTGCAGCACTACGGGCTCCTGGGTCGCCTCCACGTCTGGCTGGACCGTGATGGACTGTTGCTCCTGTTCGGGCTCTACCGTGTTCATGCTCTCACTTTCCTGCTCCTGAGCGTGCTGCTCCACGGCGGGGGCAGCAGTTGCGATCAGCTCCACGTCAGCTGGCTTCTGCGGCAGCGGATCCGGCACGGGGGTGTCCTCCCCGTAGGGCACGGACTGCGAGGGTGTAGCCTCGGGCTCGCGCTCGGCTAGCGTCGTGTACGTCTCCTGCGGACCCTCGGTCGGCTCAACGATCTCTTGACCGCTGGCCTCTTCTACGATCTCTTGGCCGCTGGTCTCAGGAATCTCGGCGGCAGGGGCGTCCGTGACTGCCGGTGGAGCGGGCGGCGCCTCCGAGCCCGCCATCTGGCTGTCGGACTCGAGGACCTGGCCGTCCTCGGAATCTGGAACGGCGAGAGAACAGGCATAAATATCGGAATTGTATGCGAATGACAAAGGATTTGCGTCTACACAAGGTGAAATACTTCTACTTATATCGAATGGTGCAAATGGTAAAACAGAGGTGCACAGACTAAATAAATTGACTAACCGCATGCGTAAGTCGGGCAGCACACGCCATCGTGGTGCACAGGCATGCATCGGGCTAGCTGGCCGGTGGGGTGGGCCGGCGGTGGGGCGCAGTTCTCCAACATGCAGTGCACTATGCCGGACTCGCAGTGGCATGCCGTCTGGCAAGGGTTCGCCGTCGGTATGCCAGAGCCGTTCACGAATAGGACGCCGTCAACGGCGCAGCTGCCGTCACCAGGGTAGTCGACGAGGTTGTCCTCAGGCCGGGCCTCAGTGGTTGCCTCACCCTCGGCGACGGAGGCCACGGGGGGCGGAAGTGTTGTGACGCCGACATCGACCTTGTCGGACGAGTCGACGGGGAGGGGCTCGGCGTCCTGGGGCTGCTGCTGCACGGCGGGGGTAGTCGACTCCTCCGCGACGACGGCCTCCGGAAGCTGAGGGCTGGCGTTGTCTTCCGGTGTCTGGGAGCACGAGGACAGGAAGAAGAAGATATAACACCACGGCAGCTTGGCGTCAGCCGCGAGTGCCACCTTGGCGAGACAACGATAGAAACTTTGAACACGAGCATGTTTCCCCTCTCCCCCTCGGAGTAACAGAAAATTAGTCGTTATCACTTCTCACCGTGAGACGCGGTATCAACGGAACACCCAGCTCGGCCCGCGATTTAGCTACCTTACTCCCACTTACCTGGGGTGCTCCGATCTCGTTGACGAGCTCAGCTTCCTGCGCTGCGGCAGCCGTGGTCGTGGCCTCCGCAACAGCGGCTGCCTCCTCGGTCGCAGATTCCATTTCGGTCTCCAACGGGGCCGCGGTCTCAGCCACCACCTCGGCCGGCTGTTGTTCGGGCACTGCGTCGACATCCTCCTGCACGGGGAGGGCAGTTGTGCCCTCGGTGGGCTGCTGCGTCGTGACGGCCGCGTCCACGGGCCTGTAAGTCTCGTAGTCCTGGGGCTGCGCTGTCTCCTGGACGGGTGCGGTGGTCGAGGCAGGGGCGGCCTCCGCCGGAGGCGCTGGGGTCTCCGACTCCTGCTGAGAGTCGACGGCCTGCAGCGGCACCTGCTCTGTGAGGACGATCGGTTCGACGGCAGCCTCGGTTGTCACCTCCTCCTGCATGAACACGTCGACAGGCTGCGCGGTGGTAGGCTCCTGCTGCAGCACGTCCTCCTGCACCGGCAACGCGGTGGTCTCAGAAGACGCCACTTCGGGCTCATGCTGGGGCGCTGCCTCCGTGGCAATGTCCTCAGGCTGGGCCTCGGCCGCCTCCTGAGCGGGTTCCTGCGGTGGCACAGACGCCTCCTCGGCGGGCTGCTCGGTCGGGATATTCTCCTGTTCAGTCTCCATTGGCGCGGCGGTCACCTCTTCATGCTCGGGCGCTGCCGTGTTCATGCTCTCACTCTGCTCCTCCGGGGCTGCATCAGTCGGTGCTGGCGCCGGGACTTCTTCCTCAGACACCACCGCGGGCGAGTCAGTGCCCTGGGGCTCGACGGGCGGCTCGGTCGTCACCTCGACGATGGCGTCGTCACCGCCTTCGTCCAGGTCCTCATGCTGTGGCTCCATCTCAGGCTGCTCCGTGACGATCTGCTCGGCAGCCTGCTCAGTCACAGCTGGGATGTCCTGGGCGTTACTTTCAGTCACCTCTTGTGCGGGTTGTTCGGTGGCCTCCTGCTGCGGTTCTTGCTCCGTGACGATGGGCTCCGCTTGCTCGGCGGGCTGCTGTGTTGGCTCCTGGATGTCTTCCTCGGTCACCTCCTGCTGGGGAAGCTCGGCTGCCTGTTCCGTAGTCTCCTGTTGTGGCTCTTGCTCGGTCTGCTCTGTCACTGCAGGCTGTGACTCCTGCTCTGGTTGTTCGGTGGCTTCTTGCTGGATCTCGGGCTGCTCAGTAGCCTCCTGCAGTGGTTCCTGTGCCTCCTGCAGTGGTTCCTGTGCCTCCTGCGGCACCTCTTCTGTGGTCACAGCCTGTTGTGGTTCCTGTGATTCCTGTTCGGTGACTACCTGCTCTGGCTGCTGTTCAGCGTGTTCGTTGACTTCCTCATGGACCTCCTGCTGTGGCAGCTCCGTCACTTCCTGCTGGGGTTCCTGCACAGCCTGTTCTGTAACGGCGGGCTCCTGTACGTCCTGCTCGGTGACTGCCTGTTCGGGTTCCACTTCCTGTGGTGGCTGGGCAGTAACTTCCTGTTGCTGTTCCTGAGCACTCTGTTCGGCAACTTCCTGCTGTTGCTCCTGCACGACCTGCTCTGGCGACTCCGTCTGGGGTGCCTCTGCTGGCTGTTCCGTGGACTCTTGCTGTGGCCCCTGTGCAGCCTCATCGGTCACCTCCTGCTGTACTTCTTGCGCCTCCGTGACTGGCTGCTCGTCCTCCTGCAGCACGACCGCCTGCTGCGGCTCCTGCTCGGGTTCCTGTGGGGCCGCCTGCTCCGTCTGCTCCTCGGGCTGCACGGTCTGGGGCTGGTCGGTGACCTGCACGAGCGGCTCCTGGGCGGGCATGGCGTTGTCGTCCTCGGCCTGCTCGGGGTCCTTCTCGTCCATGTGCTCGGGCGCGGCCTCGGTCGCGGGTGGTGCCTCCTCCTCGGCGAGGACGGCGGGCTGGGCCACCTCTGGGGGCGGCACCGTTTCAGCCACGGCACCCTCTTCGCCCTTGACTCCCTTCGTTGCCGTTTCGGTGATGCCGGCTGCCGCCTCAGTCACTGGGTACTGCGTCTCCGCGAAGGGACTGGGCTCGGTTGCGGTGGCCGTCGGCCCAACTTGCGAGAGGAACTCGAGGTTGACCGTGCCGTTCGCTGCAAACGGAACAGAACACGGGGTCGTCAGTGGGAATGTTCACAACACAAATACAGACACAGGAGGCAGTCCTAAAGCGCGAGAGACGACATTTTAGGGGTCTTCCACAATTTACGTTGTGTACTTTTCACGATAAGGGCAACTAGGGTTAGGGTTCTGTTTTTCGTCGTTTCATTTTAATTCAGTGTGGTGTGTACAGTTAAGCGTCTATGAGGCCATGATAATGCCCGCGCCCGCCCCTCAGGTAGGGTACGGTAAAATGATGCACCCCGCTCATCGCGCGTCATACTCACCGCATTGGTACGCGTCGGGGCAGCAGGCGCCCTCGCGGGCGGGCAGCGCGGTGCAGCCGGTGAGCGCGGGCCCGCACTCCTGCACGGCGCAGACCACGTCGCCGCGCATGCAGTAGCAGTGCTCGCAGGGCGTGGCGCCGGGGATGCGCGCGCCGTCCGCGTACACGGCACCGTTGTGGCTGCACGCCACGGGCCCGGGCGTCGTGGTCAGGATGAGGCCCGAGCCCGAGGGCTGCTGCGGCCGCTCCGTGCCGATGGCCAGCTCGTCCGAGTATTCTAGAAGCATCACCGGAACGTAAATTTTTAGTCCGCTTTTAATTGACTCTGCTCTCGGAAAAAAGTTTAGTTGTTCAGCTAACCAGTGGCTGAATAAGCAATAACTAGTCATTTAGCAATAGGACTGCCCAGAAAATGCGTCCATTTTTCTCAAAATCATTCGGCAAATTCCCGAAGCTCGGCGCCTGCGAGACTCGGGGTAGGCCGCCCCGCAGTGCACCCATGCACTGCAGGTAAGATGTGGCCTACCCATCAGGCGCTATGAGAGCTTGCATATGCCGAAGCATTGGCAGTTCCGTTGACAGCGAATATCGGACGTACGCACATTATTGATGACTCATATGACACTAAAAACTAGTTAAAAATTAGCTAAAACTTGGCTAAAAATGAAAACATTGCCAATTTTAAAGCTACTTAGCTGAATAATTAGTTACATCATAATCAGCTATTGGTTTAGCTAATCTCCACCAACTGCGCCGGGGACTTACCACAGTCGTACCGCACGGGGCAGCACACGCCACGCGTGTACACGGGCGCGCAGCCCTCCACCTGCAGCGTGCACTGCTGGACGACGCAGGCGGTCCGGTTGCGGATGCAGTAGCAGAGCTCGCACGGCTTGGCCGGGTCGCCGGGGACCTGGGCGCCATCCGGGTAGAACTCGCCGCTGATGCTGCAGCCGAAGCTGTCGGGCCGCGCCACGGCGGTCGTCGTGGAGGAGGCGGCCGAGGACGGCTGGACCGTGGTGCTGGTGCTCGTCACCAGGTGCACGGGCACTGCGTGGGCAGAGAGAGGGGGGGATGAACAAAAGTCGCTACGGCGAGTTGGGTGTTGAGACGGTGAGCGGCGGCTCATAGGGCTCATCGCTCAGACGAGGCGCACCTTGGTGGCGTGGGAAATACAAGGGTTGCCGAGGAGAGAGAGAGAGAGAGAGAGAGAGAGAGAGAGAGAGAGAGAGAGAGAGAGAGAGAGAGAGAGCATGTCTCGCCGCACGCCTGTCGGCACACGACTGGAGGCGGCGGCGGCGCGCGCTCCCACATTCCAGGGAGCACCTGGGTGGGGGCATTCCTCCTCTGCACCTGCCGCAGCTGCCGCTGCACTGCTGCACCTGTCGCCGCGCCCTGCAGGGGGCTGGCCGGTGCGCCGCTGCGCCGCTGCGCTGCTGGGCTGCTGGGCGGCAGAGAGCGCCTGGCGGGCGGGCAGACCCGTCGCGCGCGGCGGCCCGGCGGCGCGGCATCGCCCGGCCCGCACGCGCACACCGTTAGGCGGCCCGGCCGGGCCCACGGGCCGGGCCCCGGCGTGGGAACTTACGCGCTGGAGGCGCACGCAGGCCCCGCCAACCTCCCCGCCCCGC